TGACCCATTTTAATGACAGATCTCGTGGGTTTAGGGTTTAGAAACAGAATGCTTTGACATTTCATTTCTGGACGTGGATTTGAATGTGGCTTTCATCATCAGACAGTGATTCAAAATAGTTCCATCTGATGGCTGCCTCTCTGTACAGTCGGCCAAGCCTCTTGGATTCACTTTGCCTGAGCAGGTGTTTCTGTCACACAGAAAATGCTGTCACCTCTGACTTACACAATGCTACAGGGTTAAGTGTTTTCAGCTGAGTCGTGGACTTTAATCTAAAGAATTCACCTCCACCCCAGGCCCCAGTGGGGCCTTTTAATCAAACCTTGGGGAGAGCAGTGGTCCACCATGTAGAACATCTTGTGTCTGACAGTCACATCCAGGACCTTATATAAAGGGAGGAAAGGGGACATGATTTGTCCTCCATGATGTTTCAGAGTTCTTTCTAAGCCTCTTTATCTCTTCAATGTGTACCATCTTTGTAAGAAACAAGTTCCATATGTGTTGTGGGGTTTTTTTCTTGCTGTATAGGGGAGTACTTAGTTAGCTTAGTTTGATCAAAAACACTTCCTTACTTTAAGGGATGCCTCTTGAAAATGTTCTAAAATCGATTGTGGTGATGGTTGCACAACTCTGCGACTATTCTAAAAACCATTGAATGATGTACTTAAATGGGTGAATTCTATGGTAGGTGAATATCTCAGTAAAGCTGATATATGTGTGTGTGTGTGTGTGTGTATACACACACATCCCCTTGGTTCAAAATTCTAATATTTAATAAGTTTTAAATGCTCACTATTATTTTTGCCTGGGGTTTTATAAACCTTTTCCTATTACTCCCCTGAGCCTTTGAATTTCCTAGCTAAAGCGTTCTCATGTTTGTAGTTTAACCTTATGTACATTAGTTTATCAACCAGCAAGTACATATTTAGCATCTCTTTTGCACAGCAACAGCCAAATTATTAAAGGGACATTGGTAATAGTAGGAAGAGAGGGGCAATTGTCACAGGAATTATTAATAATAAAACAGCAATTGGAACTGCAGCCATTCTGTTGGTGAAACACAATAGTGACTCTACTGTGATTGTGGTGACAGGGAGCCAACAATTGAGTCCCTGCTAATGGCCTAACAGGGGAAGGGGTTGAAAAGAAGGAAGGAGTGGTTTACATTACAAAGGGATTGTCTGAGAGCTGTTCAAGTGTGGTTATGAGGGGAGGTCAGACTGGAGACAGAAGGGATGATAACCATGGAGCTGTCAAGGGCATCTCAGGGGCTTAAGCAAGCGCTGTGGCCGCTAGACACGGCCGGCTGAGAGCAGACATGTCCTGGCCCTGCCTAGTGCTGATTGATTATAAAGAAATGCAGGGAGAAGATAACTGAGCAAACCAGGAGTCCTGGAGAAGGGTCACAGAATCGAAAAGTGAGTCTTGGAGCCATGGAACCTTGGCTGTAATACTCATGGCTTCACTTTGGCCAGCATTGGATTACCCTTTGGGGGAGTAAAACTGCTTGAAGGGGAGTGCGTGTGTGTGTGTGTGTGTGTGTGTGTGTGTGTGTGTGTGTGTGTGTGTGTGTGAATAAAATGCTTTGATTGGCAGATCTATTGAAAAGAGTAAGTCCCTGACATCTGTTGTACTGCTCCTTATGGTTGCATGTTTCCAAAATACACACACGCACACACATGTTCCCGGCTCTCACCAGATGCTTTTGGGGTATATGATTTTAAAAAATAAAAAAGAATATCTAGACTACAGTCCAGATTCCAATTGCCTCATTTGTTCCCTACTGTTCTTTATAGCATTTCCCCCCTCCACCAAGAATCGTGGATTCCATTGAGTGAGCGTGTGTTAGAGAGACAGAAAGAGCAAAAAAATATGATGAAACTAATGAGGCAAAATGTTAGATAGTGATGAATGTGGGTAAAGGAATGTTCTCCCTGTGTGACCCCTGCTGACTTCTTTATCCCCGTCTCATAAGTCTTGTATGCTTGCCCACTATACCGCAGCAACCAGTGGCATTCTTTGTGCTCCTCAGACAGGCCAAGCTAGTTCCACCTTTAGGCCTTTGCACGCGGGGCCTCCCCTTCCCCTGAGCTGCACATGGCTAGCTACATTTCATTTAGCTCTCAGTTGAAATGTCATTTCCAAGAGAGGACATTCCTGTTAACTGAAGTAATGACCCAACCACTTGCTGCTCCCCTATTTTAATTCTCTTCCTAGACCCATCACTAGCTGATAATTTTGTGTACAAGGCCTGACAATTAAGTTTGTGAACTTGTTGCAATGATGTTGCTAACCTTTTTTGATATCAGAGGGATTATTCATTATGAAGCTGTACCAACTGGACAAACAGTTAACCAAGTTTACTATTTGGAAGTGCTGAAAAGGCTGCATGAAAAAGTTGGACAACCTGAACTTTTCGCCAACAATTCATGGCTCTTGCATCACGACAATGCACCAGCTCACATGGCACTGTCTGTAAGGGAGTTTTTAGCCAGTAAATAATTGTATTGGAACACCCTCCCTACTCACCTGATCTGGCCCCCAATGACTTCTTTCTTTACCTGAAGATACAGGAGATATTAAAAGGAAGACATTTTGATGACATTCAGGACATCAAGGGTAATACAATGACAGCTCTGATGGTCATTCCAGAAAAAGAGTTCCAAAATTGCTTTGAAGGGTAGACTAGGCACTGGCGTCAGTGCGTAACTTCCCAAGGGGAGTACTTCAAAGGTGACCGTAGTGATATTCAGCAATGAGGTATGTAGCACTTTTTCTAGGATGAGTTCACAAACTTAATTGTCTGACCTTGTATCGTGTTCACCAGTATATATCCTCAGCACCCACAAAACAGCATCCAGCACATGCTAGGAGTACAAAAACTTTGTTGACTGAGTGTGCTCATCTAAATGTCTAGAAATAGGGAGTCATTAAAAAGAATAGCAATGTCTTTTGAGGTGTTTTGTTCAAGAAAAGGCTTCAGATCTACAGAGCTGTCATTGTATTACTGTATTACAGGGGACATGTATTCAATGAGAAAACCTTGGCCTTACATTAGAATAATGGTGAATAAATAAAAATTATATATTTTAATTTAATATTAAACATTTAAGATATATAATTTTTTTTTACATTCTCCACCCTAATAAAGAATGTTTTTTATTATGAAATACCTACATAAGTTATATTGGGTTAAGAGGACATCTACTATTTATAAAATATATACATATTTTTATTTGTATATACACACATGCAGTGATTCCAAGTATGTAAATGGTATGAGTACAACAAAAAAGAAAGGAAATATATGAAAATAATAAGTCATTATTTGGGGGGGAAATGAAATTATGAGTAATTTTTCTTTTAAAACATTTCCAAGCATTCTACATATGATTCTATTATTTTTATAATTAAAAAAATGTATTTTTCAAGAGACAAAACACACTACAGGGTAGATATAATCAAATATGAAAACTGTAAATGCATTTTGGAGATGATAGGGCTTTCTTGAATTTAGCGTGCTTATTGCATGAAGCTTTGTGGAAAATAGTGTTAAGTGACCTGGTTTTGCAAAGAATCAATAGGACTTTTGAGGGTGAGCAGACAGGTAGACCTTTCTTCTTTACGAAGCAGAATGAACAAAGGTCGGAAAGGATCAACTAGCACATAGGAAACTATGAGGATACAGGCCTCATCGAATGAGAAGCTCACATATGGGGGTAAGTGGGAAGTGATCTGGAAGAGTAAGATAGGACCACATTTTTAGAAGATCTTTAAAACTGGGCAGAGAGCTTTCGACTAGAAGTGGAAAGAAATAAGGAACTACTATAGGTTCTTGAGGAAAAGGGTCACATGGTGGCCTGGGTGTTTTAGGAAAATTGTTCTGTGCAGGGAGTGAAACAGAGCTGGCATTAGGAGAGTGACACCAGTGTCTGTTTTATCTGGTATCCATAACAGTCACCAAAGTCACACCGCTGTGCTCTGCTGAGACTCCGCCTGCAGACCATCTCCATCCAGCCCTCCAGTCAGTCACCACTAATCAGTCAGAGCTGGCATACGACTCTGATTGCCTTCTTCTGTGCGCACTATCATACTAGAGAAGTGGAAGATGGAAAGAACGGAGGCAACAGAAGAGCCATGCAGGCCCCAAGGATGGACTTTTGTAGTTCTGAGACTAGAAGCTAGAGAAGTACCTTGAGATGTTTCTTTTGTGTTTGTATGTTTGCCTTTTAGTTAGGGCCCAAAATAGAGATCTTTTTGTTTGACTCATGATTCAGTTGCGATAGAAATAGTCTTCGCTTTTTGAGGCTTTGTTAGTGGTATACAGTTTCTAGGCACTTGCTTTCTAAAAAGTTTTTCTTAAATATTTAATAAACCTTAAGAACAGGAATCCCAAGAAATGATGTGCCACAAAAAGACCCTCCCCTTTTAATCTACAAAGATGTATGCGTACGTACCTGCTGTGTCCACTTGTGGGAATTAACTTGTCAGAATACGTTAAGCCCTGTTTTGTTTTGTTTTGTTTTGTTTTTTTAAAGGTTTTGTCTTCTCTTGTTTTTTAAAAGCTGTTTTTAGATTGCAAAATAGCAAACAAAATGAAAAATAAAATGACATTCTCTCATCTTTAGGGGACAAAAATCTTCCCCTCTGTCAGTGTGTGGGCTTCAAACAAGACAGAATGTTTATCTTAGCTGCCTGTTACAGATGGAAAATAAAGTTGGCAATAGCCAAAAGTCCTTCTTTTGAATAACTTATCACAAAAGGGAAAACATAAATCTAGTGGCAAAACAACTCTCCTTTCTAGGCTAGTATTTCTTGGATGGGTCTGAGAACATATAAAATTCCATTTCTGCCCACTTGATTGATTCAAGTTAACCTCTCCAAACCTCTAATTCAAGGTTTGGTTGTTGGGACCAGGTGGCAGTTGAATATGTTATTGACAATCTTTCTTTTTCTTTTGTTCTTTTCTTCCTTTTTATTATCTATGGCTCGTGATCAAGAGCTTACAAGACCCTATGAAAAAATTGGTTGAGAAGGAAGACAGGAAGAAGATCACCCAGCAGGAGAGTGCAGAGACCGCAGCCGAGGGGCCGAGTCAGTAAGTCATGGGCTTCTCCTCTTGACAAAATCTTTCTTCCCCCAGGTAAGGGCAGCGCAGTCCTCGCTGGCCAAGCCTGTCAGGGCCCCAGACCCACGGTGATTGCTCTACTCCCTCACTTCTCAGAGCAGACATATTAAAGTTGAGACCAAACATCCCCAACGCATCTCCCTACTCCACTAGGACTCACCCCAGTAAGAGACCCATTTCTGGGGTACCTAGAAGGGACACACTTGTGGAGGAGTTGAGTGGGGCAGGAAAGGGCAGTGTCCCCACCGCTGCCAGGCTCCCTGCCTTACGTCCTCAGCCACAGCTTCCTTCTGGTCTTTTTTGTTATTATCCCTTACAAGATCCTGTCCTAGGTAGGAAATCCCCCAGCTTTTCTGTCCAAGAAGGAAATAACCGATAAAATTGCCTCATAACTCATATGGGCCTTAGGTGTTATCATACAGAGGTGTTGGGCTTTGACATTTTGTTTTCTGCTCTGCAGAGCTTGTGTTTTCTTCTTTGTGAAGCAGAGAGCAGCTCTGAGTACAGGAAGTGACTGCTCCATCTTCGTTTCTCACCTCTTTACAAAGAAGGCACCTCCAGTCGTTTAAAATACTGAGAAATGTTCAACCTATATGGTGCATGGGTCCTCATCTCACACAGGAAGGAGAAAGTTTAAATGTGAATCTATGTATTTTTCTACTGAGATGTCACCGCCTGCGGAATGGCATTCAACTTGAACAGGCTGACCTAGGAAACCAAAATAGATCACCTTCCCGTGTGCTATACTTTTTCCGCAGAAAAAAATTTAGATGACAATCATATGGTGAAACAGCCTTATGTTTTTACTGTGTTTCCAAATAAGGTTTCTCTATTTTTTTGTCCCACAGGAATATTTGCTGCAAATACTAGCCCTTCTTTTGTTTGTTTGTTTAAAGCAAATGCTAAAAAATTCCTTGAGTGCAGAATGAAGACAAGTTTACACTGTAGGAAGACTGTAGAATGTGACCTCAGTGTAGACAATTGACCATATTGGAAGAACCAGTTTAGCCTATTCCTGGTAATGCTAGCTACCATTTAGTGAGCACCTACTATTTACTAAGCACAATGCCATGTGCTTTATTGATGTTATCCAAACTCATTCTCATGGTAACCCTCCGTGTAATCAGTGTTGGCATTTCCCCATGGTGTGAATGATGGAAGTGAGACCCAGGTTATGGGACTGCCCACTGTCCCTGGTATAGTAAGAGGCAGAGCCTACAATGAACCCTGGCACCTTCTTTTCATCATGTATGTTACTGCAATTGCAATAAAGCATTAGCCTTTACTCAGAAGAGAACCTCCCAAGATTGTCTTGATTATTTTTAATTAATTTTAGATTTCTCCTTTATTTTAGTACTTCATTTTTAAAAACTCAAAGAGTGTAACTCAGTAACTATGTAAAAAGGCAACAAAAATGTAACAAGGAGGGAGACACCCGCTGGGTCTCAGGGTGGTGATGTATTTCTGCCATGATCTTACCCATGTATGGTAAGGGCTGAGTAGGTGACAGTCGTCTGGATTTGAGGGTGTTCCTGCTTTCAGCCTTATGTGATTTAACTAACCTCTTGGGGTGTTCTTTCCTATAACACCAGGAATCAGAGTAAAGACCCGCTTGCACACTGGATTTTTTTCACTATGTTTTTAAAGATAATAACTGTATCTATCTTAGTTATAGCCAACTGCCCATCTAGATAGATATTTACAAAATATGTGCCTTACGATAAAACCAAATTCACATGTTAAAATGCTGCTAACCAACCTTGGAACAGAATAATAAAGCCAGCAAATTTGTTTCTTCTTCAAAAAAATGTATAGCCTGTAAATGACTGTACATTCACTGAGTGAGTGTGTGCGCGTGTGGTAATAGATATTGTACAGAAAATCTGGCTGTATCATAAATATAACATTTTCAGAATTAGACTACTAAGCTTCATTTCTTGATTTTAAGGTTAATTTCACTAGAGGAAGAAAACCTGCACCAGGAATCCTCCAGTTTTAAGAGTAAGTTTTGATTTTTATTTAGAAATGCTTCTGAAATACTACTGCTCAACAGGCAATTCATTCTCTTTTCTTGGCAAACTCCTCCTAGGCCTTTTTTCTTTGCCAATTGAGAAAATTCTGTATTAATTTGTTTCCTAGACTGTCAGTTATAAATTTTCCTAGATCAACAGTGTCAACCCTATAGTGTTATTGAGTGAAGGTGTGTATTTTGAACTAGGAAATAGCATCATTAGTTGCCGCAGCAGCAGCCCGTCTGAGGAGATCCGTAACTGAGACTTGTCAGACGGCTATTTCTTTTACCACAGATGATAACATTTCTGCTATTCCCATTACTAGTTCTAACTGCCATTTGGGCTGTACAGATAGTTTTAATGAGATTACATGGTTCCATCGAGTGAGTTTCGTTTTCATTGTGTTCGTGGGGTGAGTGTTGGTCTTTGTGGGGAACAGATGGGGAGAGCTCAGACACGGTTCTTCCAAGTGATTCCTGAGCCTGTTCTGTAATGAGTGACACCAGGTCCCTCTGGTGTGCCGCCTCTCGTGTGGCCCGAAGAGGGATCAGAGCATTCGTAGATGATACCATGTGCTGTACAGGGCTTGCCAGCTATCCCTGTCTCCTGTCATTCCTGCCAGTTCTTTCTTTGGCGCTTCTTCGCATAAGGAGTAGAGAGAATGGTAAATTGGGGTAGAGCTAGGGTGATGTAATGCTGAACCTTTTGCTGGAACTTGAAATCCTCGGAGATGCAGGGGAAAGTTTTACAGGTGATATGAAGAGAACTAAAATCACCCCAACATTCTGTTCAGCCTGGCCTTTCTGGGGGACATATCCACCTTCGCCCTTTGCTACAGCAGGAAGTCTTTGCAGGAGATGGAAGGAGGCAGAATAGACCCTGGGACTCTCATCCTTTTCCTCCAACCTCTGTTTTTTTTCTGTCTTCATTCCTACTTTTTCAAACATTTTGCTTCACCTGTTTTATTCTCCTCCCACGTTCTGCTTCATTTGCTTTCCCCCCCATCCACCTGTCAACAGAAAAACAACAACACCAACAAAACAACTCTCATTGTTTTGCCTCTCTAGCAACGTTATCTGTTCATGCTTGTATACCTTCATGTGTGCACTTGTGCTTTTGGTCACCAGAAGTTTATTAAGTGCTGTCTCTGTGGCGGGCACAGCACTGGGGTCTGGGCAGATGGTGGTCCACCAGACATATTCAGACCATTCTCGGATGGGACTTACAGTCAAAAGAGAAAGCAGGGGATGATCTAGGAATTCCACAAGTAATTGGGCAAGTCCATCTTCGGTGAGAGCTGCAAGGGTTGTGGGCACACGTGATAAGGAGGCCTCGCCTGTCTAAGGGATCAGGGATCTAGCTAAGTCACGTGCTGTTGCAAGACCTGTCAAAGGGAAAGAAACAGCCTGGGCAAAGATTACGAGTGAGGGAGGACCAGGAGCTGGTCAGAGGGACGATGTTCTAGAGCACGAGGGAGCGGCCGCTGGCAGAAGAAGGCAGAGGCAGGCTGGCCTGAGCTTGCTGGCCGTAAAAGAGCTCTCTGGCTGCTGATCCACACCTTCCAGCCTCAGCATCGCTCAGGTACGAACAGGGTGAGTCATGTTGTGGGAATCTAACTAATCCAATAGAAAAGTTCTAGTTCCTTGGGAAAATGTAAACTCCAGTCCATTATATTTGTGTCTATATAAATCATATATTCACGCAATATGTGACGATACAGGTGTATCAAATTTTCTTTTTCTTTGTGCAATATGTTCACTTGCTTCTGGCGTTTGCATAATATTTGAGACTGTAAACGCTGATCATCTTGTTTTATATGTATACAGAATGAAACCCATTAATATGAAGCGTCATCTTTTATTCTGTGACCTGCAGAAAGTCTAATATACATATGAGCAAACCAAGTTTTAAGGCTGTACTATTGTGTGTGTGTGTGTGTGTGTGTGTGTATTTACACACATGCACCCATGCTTTATTGTTTAGAGCAGTTTTTGGTTCCCAGCAAAACTGGACAGAAGGCACAGATTTCCCACACACCTCCTGCCCACACATGCACAGCCTCCCCCATTATCTACATCCCCAACCAGAGTGGTGCATTTGTTACAAGTGATGAACCAACGCTGATGCATCTTATCACCAAATTCCATAGTTTACATTAGGGTTCACTCTTGGTGTTGTACAGTCTATGGGTTTTGACAAGTATGTAATGACATATATCCACAATTGCAGGATCATACAGAATAACTTTACTGTTCTAAAAACCCCCTGTGGCTTCACCTATTCATCTCTCCCTCCCACCACACCCCTGGCAACCACCCATCTTTTTATTGTCTCCATAGTTTTGCCTTTTCCAGAATGTCGTATAGTTAGAATCATACATTATGTAGGCTTTACAGTTCGGCATTTTTCACTCAGTAGGCTGCCCTTTTATTTTAGCCAGGCCCATATGGCTAAAGTTCATTAGCACCATCAAGTAATAGTCAATTACTTAAGTCACTCATTTGTCTATGGAAAGAGAATTGCTAGATCAGTATCATATATATTTTTTTAAACAAACAAAGCAAAGACTTGGGGCTGGTAACTCAGCACTCATTGAGAGCCAACAGCTGGTGTAAAGCATAGTCTGGGGACCCCTGCTCCCGCCTGAATGAGTTTGTGGAAGCCATTTCTTCCTGAAGATGTTTGCCTTACACTGCAATAGTACATAAACACGCACACCATTCTGAACTGGTGATAACTGATAGCACGTTATATTTACAGCTGAAGAAGGAAAACGTGTTTTATCTGCCTTAGACAAAAACTCTACACATCATGCATGCTCAGGTAATCTAGATTAAAGAAAATGACTCAGTTTTAATAATGTGACTCAAACATCTTACAAAATAAAACTAACTCATGGTTTTGTTTTCTTTTTCCTCCTCTAATGGACTGACAGATGAACTATTTAACATGAAACCTGAGGAAGGTGGTAAGATTTATGCATTTCTTTGAGGTTATAATTTGTTTAATTTTTTAATACTTTTTATACAGGCAGGAAAATGTAATGTTTATCTTTTGAATAGCTTTGCATTCCCAAACAAATTTTTTTAGGTGACTGTCATTTGTCTTTATAAATGACTTTAAATATGCTCAAGCACAAGTTAATACGTGTGCCTCTGCCATCCTTACTATAATGAATTTCACAGTGTTCAAACTACTAAAGGTAAAAGTTGTGATGTTGAGGGCCGGCCGAGTGGCACAGTTGGTTAAGAGCTCGCTCAAGAGTTTGAGCTCTGAGCAACAGCGGTTCGAGTCCAGCCCGAGCTGAGCAGCCGCTGAGCTGCCAACAGGTAGCAGGATGGCTCAGCTAAAAAAAAAAAAAAAAGTTGTGATGTCAAAGGTTGTGTGTTACAGTAGAAAAAACATGGCTTTCAAAATCAGACAGGCCTGGATTTAAACACTGGTTCCACCATAAATTATCTATATGGCCTTAAGTAATTTGCGTCATACTTAAACTCTCTCAGCCTCAGTTCTCATTTGTAAAATGGAACCAGTAACAACAGTCTTGTTGGGTTATTGTCCGGATTCGAGATCATGTATGTAAATGGCCTTTCATGGTCTCTGACATAGAGAAACTCTTCAAATGGTAAGCAGTTGAGATAGTAGGACTATAAATGTTGTTCTGGTGGTAAGCTATGCTGCATCTCCATTTAACCTTAGTTAAATGCAGAAGGAGAGTTTGCTGGCTAGGGCCCACACCCAACTTCCTCAGACCTAAAATCATTTACTGAATAACCCTCCAAATGAGAATCCAGAGCCATGGATTTGTATGAGATGTGCATTGTCTTAAGTAATCCCCAGAAAGTGAGTGAGTTCAACCTGATCATAACCTTTGCTCTCCATCCTCCAAGGGTTTACCTCTAATGATTTACCAGGAGTCCAAAATACCCCTGAGATTCTGAGCTGACCTCTAGAGTCCCCCTTTCCCTGGGTGGCTGGCACACAGTCTTCCTTGGAGACCAGATTTCTTACAGGACTGGCAATGATCCAAGGTCATCCTATAGGCTCCAGTTAACGAGAGCCAATGACTTTCTTGATTCATTCTGTGCTTGATTTAGCTTTAATTCCCAGAGTGTGAGAGAAAGAAAATCTAGAAAACAGAGGGCATTGGTTAAAGGTTTTTTTTTTTTTCAAAAATGGAAAGGCAGCAGACCTCAGGCATTAAGTTTCTAGGGCTTAGGAATATAAACTTGAGGGCAGAAGCCTGCTCTCCTTATTAATTTCTTGTTCCATGCAGCACACTGTGTACTATTTCATGAATGTCCATGTGTATTTTATCAGGATGACTGCTTATTTATGAATACTGAAGTCATACCAGGCTATAAAAAGTAACAAGCAAGTAGTTAATGCAGACTGCCATTCCGTGTCCTCCATTTTTGTAAAGAACTTGTCCTTCTTGGTGTAAGGATAGAGTATTTTGATGGAATAAAGGTTTTTTGTTTTTTTACAAATTATTTTTTGGAAGAGGAAATATTTCGGTTTTACACAGATGAGCTTAAAGGCTATAATATAATAAGCACTAGTATAAGCACCATAACCTAGTTTTAGCAAGTCTTAACATTCAACTAATATTTTTATAGTCATACATATGCTTCAACTTATTTTGATAGGAAGATTGTTATTTCTCCTATGCCCAACTGCTTGTGTATGCAGTTTGCTCTTTGATTTTATTATTTCCTATTTAATTTATTTTTTGTTAAAGATAATTTTTGAATAGGTGGTATATTCACATTGGTACAAAAAAAACCCAAAATGATAAAATGTATGCAGTAAAAACCTCTCATTCCCACTCCTGCCCCCCACTCTCCTCTCTATTCCAACATGGCCCCCACCCCACCCCACCCCGGCGTATCCTTCTAGCATTATTTTTACATAGACACATGCAAATATGAGTCTATATTCTCAGATTTCCCCCTTCTTACAAAAAAAAGGTTTTGGTTTTGGATTTTGTTTAACTTAGTAATAACGGTGCATACAACATAACCCAGTAACCATGCGTTTCTTCGCAGAATTAAATCAGAAATGCTACTAACTGAGATACATGCTTCCTTTCAAAAACTTCCTCCAAAGCATCTGCCAAGATACATTGGAATAAGATTGATATCTTCCTACTTATTTAAAACAACTTGTGCCTCCTTGATTTATAGTTACAGTCTTTGTTTCATAGAACAGCAGTTCATATCCTTTTCTTGAGCGCTCAATTTAACTCTAAAGAGAGATGAATGTACTCTTTCCCAAAATGTGTATTTTTTCGTCAGGCAGAAAAATTGATTTACAGATTTTCTCAGTTAAATGCAATGTCACATAATTTCTCCCTTCCCTTTATCACTGCCAACCCACAAAGCCCTTCTTTAGGCACAAGCCATGCTGTCCCCCTATCTACCTCTTCTCTGTTGGCAACCCCCAGGGTAGCATCAACTTAAAAATTAACATGGCCACGGATATAAAAAATATGCTCTCGGTGCACAGAGAACTTGGGATGACTGACGAAAAGAACACTCAATTAATTAGTTGACTTCCAAATAGATGCCCTTCGGAAAACTGCCAGAAGGCCCAAATGCTGAATTAAAACACTGATTATAATATGCAAGACATTAAACAATCAAAAAATAAAAAGAGCTTAATCCAGGGATGGCTGACTCTATAGGACTTGGGGCTATGAGCTCTAGCACCCTGCTGCTTGGGGGCCGGCTCACTCCCAGTGGTAATTCTGTCAGACAAGTTACCGCTAAGCTATGGAATAATGTCATCAGAAAGCAGACTGCTCGTGACAACCGCAAGGAGATAATTCTCCAGGAGCTATTGCCCAGAAATTTACTCTGATTCAGTGCATAATGAAATTTGTTTTCCCCTCCTCAATAGATAATGGAATGGAAGACCAATATTTGGCCAGGTTATAAAAATGTCAGGGAAAAAGAAACTGAGTGACATTTTGAGATACTCGAAAGTGGCCCTGAAATCACCTTGTGACCCACATGTAACAATTCCAACCTCAGTTCACGAGTTAAAACATGTAGAAGTCTTTGTGTCCCTCTACATTGGACCCCCCAAAATAATCATTAGATAACTGAACAGAGAAAGGTGGGTTAAACAAAAGAGAGTTAGATGAATTCAGCTCATCTAAATCTCATCACTCAGCCTTACTAAAAAGATGCCTCTCTAGGACAAGACTAAATGAACCAATTTTTGAAAATTTTAGTTGTCCATATTAACACTTTAAGCATTTGTCTTCTGCTATTTCCTTCGTTACTACTTCCAGACTTGAGGCTCTAAATCCTGGCCAAACATCAGAATGACTGAGAAGCTCATTCAGTAAGTCCTAGAGGTCTGGGTGAGAACATTTAGTCCATAGCAGTAATACAGATTTCTATCCCTGCACCCAGGCTTCCCCGAGTCATTTGGAACCTTCTCCTGCAGCTCTCCATATAGAGCTGACTAGGAATCTGATTGCTTTCTCACGGGCAATGTGACAAATACTAAGCTCATTACCTTTTCACATAAACTTTCTCTTCTCCCTGTCTCCACCAGCATCCTCAGGTGAACTGCTATAAAATAATAGTGCACTTTCAAAACCAAAAACTGTTCTTACTTGATCACCATATAGTGTTCTATGTAGATTTACCCCTTCCCCAGGTGTCAAGTTTTTCAGTAAGATTGCTTGCTTGTGAAGATCTAGGGCTAAATGGAGGAGCAGGCTGACTGGTCACCTACAAGTATTTGAGTTACCTGTACAGGGTCTAGCACTGTTAGGGGTTTTTTTGGGAGGAAGGGTTGTTTTTTTCTTTTTTGTTTGGTTGTGTGTGTGTTTCTTTCTAAGAGAGTGGGTAGGAATGGATCACCCCCCTCCCCCATCTGTTCTTATTATTATCTATGTCTTTTCCACCAGAAGGGAGTTTTTAGAAGCAGTATTCTTGAATTCCAAGCAAGTACACATTGTTACCAGAGCCTTTTCTAATGAAGAATGTTTTTCTTTTTAGACATTTTTTGTGAGGTGATTTTCTACCCATCTTCCCCCACCCCGCCCCCATACTGTCTTTCGGGTGATGTGAGGATAGTGTTGTTATTTGGGGTTTTTCGTGTGTGTGGCAAGTGTGTGGCCTTTACAGTTAGTCATAATGATGAGAGTGGGGACCAGGGAGAAAACCAGAGCAAGAGTCTTCCTGTTTCGCACATAGATGAAGGTAACTTGTGTGACATTTATCTTTTTGTTTTCCTGTACTCTCATTTTTGGTTGATGTAGTTATGTTTCCATCCTCTGTGTTCTTCAATTTATGCTGAGGTCATGAAACAGTGTGATTTAAAAAAAAAAAATCACCTGAGTGGGCTGCCATCAGTTCCCACAGTTTTCTGTAACTCAGGCTCTGTTTGAACTTGAGAGAGCTTCCTCTGTAGGTCAGTTTTCACTCATTGAAAGCTCACTGGGTCCGAATCCGTTAGAGCTCATTGGTTCAGGGTCAGCTTTCCTAAGGAATGTTTTCCCAGGAGCACAAGGTTTTTATTTTGGAACGCTTGAGCAGTGCAGGGCAAACATGCTGAGTGGTTTTGCCATCTCTGCCATTCTGCTGAGCTTTGCCTGGCTGCCAGTGGCATCAGCTGACCCTCAAAACTACAAAAGCTTCAATATGAGTTTATATATAAGATCCTTAATAGGCTCTGAAGTGAAAGCCGTGTGCTGCACTGAGAAAACATCTTGACCTTGTGAACCAGGGGCCCCCAGACAGATAATCTGTAACTAATAAATGATCTGATCTTGGGCAAGTGTCTCTTTTTTTTTTTTAATCTGTAAAATGAGTGAGAGGAGGCGATCTCTAAGATCCCTTTCAGTTGAGTATAATCCTTTTCTTTGGGCATCACAATGGGAGAAAACCAGACAGGAAGGCAGGAAAGCCTGTTTGAGAAATGGCAAGCTGAGGAGTTTTGCCAAATTGTAAGCAGTGTTGGTGAAAGGTTTGCACTAGAACTTGACTGTAGAGCTCCTAATTACCACTGCAAAGGGTGTTACTTTACTCAGTAGTCAGAGGGAGCCATTGAAGGTTTTTGAGTAAGGGAGTAATAATCTCACAGCTCACAAGGCAATGGGCAGGTGCCTTTTATGGCTCGCCAGTGGGCAAACCCTGAACGGGCCCTGGGTAAGGAATTTGTTATCAGAATTTTAAAAAAATTGGAGTTGGAGATGGAAATTTGAGACTCTTCTCAAGTGGGATGAGAACCATGAGAATAAATAAGATCATCTATAGAGAACTAAGGAAGGGAGATATGAGAGCTTAGGAGGAAACCTTAAGGGCAGCAAGGAAGATATTGTCAAGAAGCTAGGAGGACATCCAAGAGAGTGGCTTTGTGGGGACTCCCAGGAGATGACAGCATTTCCAGAGTGGACAACAGTTCAAAGAGCTACAGAGGGGGAGGCCTGAGAAAAGGGGGCTGGAATTGGCCATGACAGTCACCGTCAAGAGGCCACTTCAATGTGTGGTGGGGGCAGGAACTTGATTCCAGGCAGCCAAAAAGAGAGAGATGGCCAAGGAGAGAGGGTGGCTGTGGAAGGAAGAAGAAACCAGGCCAGTATCATGAAGGGAGGTGCAGGGGGAGACAGCCATATCCAGTGAAGACTGACTGTTGCTGGAATGCGCACACCTCTTCTGAGGTCACAGAGAAGAAGCCTTGGAGAATGAAAAACTACAGACCCTGGAGCTGAATAGTGGTGGGAGCAGAGCAGGAAGGAGAGGGAGAGCGCAGAGAGGACTAATCTTAGAAAGGAAGGGAGAATGCATGAAGGGCCATAGAGTTGGAGGCTGAGAGGTGAGAATTTGAGTATGTCATGGCTGTTGGTCTTTATTTTCATAGTGATGTCTGTGGTTGGGTTATGTGATGTGAAAATAAATGTGGAGAGCTAAGAGCGTTCAAGACCATGAAGGGGGCTTCTAGTAGTATCTGTGGGTTTGGCACCTGAGCGTGCCACAAACTTGGTTCATCCTTTAAGACTAATGCACGATAGGATGCCATAACTCAGAAGCAATGCTAGCCTGTCCAATGGGTAGAAGCTCGATCCAGTTCTGTGGCTCTTCCCAGGGCTTCTCTCAAAGAGCTTATCCTACGTCTGTGTGCGCCCTCATTTTCTCACAGTTGAGATGAATTATTTCCAACGAAAAGGATAATGTGGCTCTTCAGAGCCAACTGACTCGTGTTATTTTTCAAGTCTCGACTTGTCTGGCTACAGACGTAAACCTGTCCTTCTCTGCTTGTAATTAAGTTTTCTTACAAGTGATGTATAGTAATCTCAAGCATCTTAATTATCAGGGCAATAATTGGGAGGTTCCCCTGTTTTCTGGTTCAAGTCAGTGCCAGTTTCATTCCTTTAGCTAAGTAATAAGTTCTCTTAGAAGAGAAAATGTCCACTGTGCAGCCTGCTTTCACTGTTCCATAACCAGGACACTAAACGGCCAAATTCAACGGTAAACCTCAGACTCTCTTCAGAACTAGTGCTAGACAATATTATCATCATCACTATGGGCTCCTTTTCTCACTTCTATCACTAAGTGTGAATTTGATAGGATACAATATTAGTCAGGACTCTTTTGGTTGGAAATAATGGAACCCTTCTCTAAATAGCTTAGCTTTAAAATTAAAAAGAAAAGAAAAGAATGTATTGGATATTAGTCCATGTAACTGGGGACACACAGTGGTGTATCGGCTCCCAGCAAGGCTAGATCCAGGGTCTTGGATAGTCAGGATTCTCTCTCTAACTCCTGATGCTGTTTTTCTTTATATTTATCCCCATCATCACTGGGGGCCTCACAACTGCATCTTTAGAGCCCCAAAGAAAGAGAGAAGATCTTCCCTCCAGCTTCTATACAACAAACTCAGGGAAGCCCTCTGGCATGTTGACCCCCCCCTCCACCCCCGCCCCAGTCAGTCACCATGGCCTGAGAAATGAAGGACTCTGGCCAGCTGAAGTCACCATGTCTGCCTGGGATGAGGGGAGATGAGACATCTTAAGCGGTGTCTCACTAGGATCACGTGGAGAAGGTGTTTCCCCAAAGGGAAAACTGAAAAAGAGGAGGAAAGGGACGTTAACATACCAAAACACACAAAAGTCCCCTCTAAATATCATCCACCACACAAAACTTCAACAGTAAAAACATAGAACTTTTCCAGTCTATGATTATTTTTGGAAGGCTCCAAGTTTATTATTTGCTGTTGCTAACGTTAGTCATGGTCTTCCCCAGATTGACATCGAAATGAAAGCAGCGACACCTCCCCCAGGGTTGGACTGAGCAGAGGGCTGTAAAGTGACTTCAGGAGGTTTATTTAAAATCACCCATTCCCATAGGGTCTACATATTGATTTGAATGGGCTCCAGTAACACAGGTTTGGTTCAGCAGCCATCTGGTTTCAGTCAGGCCAGGAAGTAAACCATGAGAAAAGGTTTGGGCTCTTCAGTCCCAACTGAAAGTAGGAAGTACAGATATTTGTGAAGTTCATATATGTAAAAAAGATGATGCCGAGAGAGACTGAGAGGGGGAGGGCAGATGCACAGATGCAGGTTGATGGACACACCCGGTCACAGCCAGGTTCCTTCCTTTCTTTGCAGAGAGGGCCTCTCTCACCTGCCCTGCCCTGCCCTGCCCACCATGCCCAGGCCGAGGTGGCTCTGCACTACCCTTCTACTACAGACCTGCCTCGGAAGCCTGTTTAATAAAACGCCATTTCCCCCCTCTTCTCACCACCACACCTCCAAGCTACATCTCAGTGCAAATTTCTGTGATAACACAAACAATAAGAATGCTTAAATTAGACGGTTGTCTTGGTAAAGTGGTATTTTGCCCCTATTTTTAAACCACAGTGATATGAGAGTGACTGGACTCCTCCCCTCCTTGATTTATAGCCACTCCACTCAGCACATCAAAAATCCCCTCACTCTGTAGATCTTTATAAAAACTCTGGTTGAAAATAGATCCAGTAAAGCTAACCGAGATAGCTTTATTTAAAAAGAAAAGAGCCTTCACTTACTAATTATCTCATATATTTGAGGAAATCCTGTTAATCTCACTTAATATGACAGGATCAGAATTGCAGTGTAGCTCCGAGAAAATATAAATCATGATTGTGCCTTCTCTTAATGATTTACAACAAAAATGTTTGTTAAGTGGCAGTTTCCAAGTGGTGATTAGATACCGCAACAATCCCAGACCATCAGCCCTTGGTTTTCAAAATACATAGAAAACTCAATGAAAGGCCTTGTTCCAGGATTTCTGACAGTGATACCCCAATTCTACTTGTATTCCCTGTTCAGTATGTTGTCTGTGTTCATATTGTAAGAGGGGATCTCTTCCTTAAAGTCTTCCTTCTGTGGCGGCAGTGAGGTTTAAGGTTTTGGGTTTTTTGTTTGTTTGTCTTTTGTTTGCTTGTTGGTCTTACTGACAATACTCCGAGGCAGGCATTATTAATATTATAATTTTATAGATTAAAAATACAGAGGTCCAGAGAGGGTAAGAGTCTTGCAGAAGCCACATAGCAAGACAAGCATAGTCCAGGGGCTGCCCCTCTGGTTCGGTGCTCACTCCAACCCTAGAGCTGTGCCTTTGGCCTACGCAGCTCATCTTCTAGGTGGCTCCATGATTTACCCATCTTCCTGTCATGGCTGCCCCCCTGGGAAACCAGACCCACCTTTTCGTTGCTTTATGCAGCTGGGTTGCTGCAAAGGAGAAAGGAAAGGAAGCAAGGTTGCCTTTCTTGGTCATCGTCGGACATCCTGACATCCTCCGTTCCCCTCTTTTTCCCTGGGCCAGTCAGGGCGTGGTGAGGGTCCTCTCCCATCCTCCATGGCAGGGCAGGTTGCCACATGGCATGTTGGCTGTGGATTTAGGGCTTTTGTGGGGGAAGAGTCAGGAAGCTATACCAACAAGGAACTAAGATCTCCAACATGCTTTGAATCCTAGCTTTGTTACATGTCTGAGAAACGTTTTGGTGATAAATTTGCTCTTATATTAAGGAAAAACCAAAACCCTAGAATGTTTGTGAAAACTATTTCAGTGCACTTCTAATGATGTTCAGAAACTGGACTTGCTTGGAAATTAGGGGGATAAAGTAGAATGGGACTGGAAATTTAATCCTGAAATTTCTTAAAAGAAACTATCATGGGATTAATTTAGATTTTGATTAAGTTTTTCTTAAATCTAGCCATTGCCCAGTCTGTCCTATCTCAGCCTCCATTGCATTTATTCCCGAGGGCCCGAGCCCTTGGTGGTAATATGTTTTGTGCTCTGTTACTTTGATCAGCTTGCCTGGGTCCAATGGCAGGGACCCTGGAACCCGAAGGTGCTGATAAAGATGACCTGCTGTTGTTGAATGAGATCTTCAACGCTTCCTCCCTGGAAGAGTGCGAGTTCAGCAAAGAGTGGGCTGCTGTGTTTGGAGATGGTCGACAGAAGGAACCAGCTCCTACTATGGTCCCAGGAGAGCCAGACGCCAAGCCCCAGACAGGCTCAGGATTCCTTCCTTCTCAGCTTTTAGACCAAAATATGAAAGACTTACAGGCCTCGTTATACGGTATGTGCTACAGGGATTGAAATGGGGTTTTGTTTGTTTGTTTGTTCATTCCTTGCAGGTTTGTTTGTTTTTTTAATCAAAAAGCCTATTTCTTCCTTCTTTGTCTTTTTTTAAAAATTTTTTTCTGATTTTCATTTTCTATCTAGTGTCTTCTTTTGGTTGTTTTTTCATTTTGTGATTTTTCTTTTCTATCTGGTGACTTTTTAGCTGAAATCTTAGAATCACATTCTAGCTTTAAGATGTGGTGCTGGGTTAAAATCGATTCCTTCTGTTATTTTTCTTCCTGTGCTAACATGTTCTATTAGTAAAAGGTGAGAGGAGTGGTTCTTGATATTTTCATCATACTTGGATTTTAGACTTTTTCATGGCATTCTTCAGTCATAGCCCTGTTGGGTTGGCCATCATCTTAGCTGAGTTCTCCTGTACACTCTCACAAGGCAAAGTTCTCCACATCCCCGTAGACACGCCCTCTTTCCGAGTGTCCACTGACATTACACTGGGTTCTCAACTCTTTTCAAACGAAATTTTATCTTATTCTTGCTCTCACTCCATCCTGGCCCACCCTTCCCTTGAGTGTGCCCTCAGCTCAGCTGCTCCTCTGCTGCCTGAAACATGCAGCCTAACAGTCCCATGCACCCCTCACCACAGCAGAAATAGTTTCCACATTGATCACAAGGGGTCAGCAACATTAGTAAGGGTTCAAGGCTCGCCCGCAGCCCACATGCTGGATGAGAATTGCTGGCATGGGGAACACATTGATTTAGAATTTAAAAACTAAGACTCAGGTGGAAATTTAAATTTGTGAGTTTGAGTTTCTAAACAAACAGACTTTGGGAAGGAAACTATTTTCTAGTATTTCAACACTTTTCTTTTTCCTCCTTTCACATTGCTTGAATTGTAAGACAATATTATGAAATTCTCAGATGGTTTCATTTTTTTCCATGAATTTAGGCTATGTACATAGTAAATAACTAGCTGGAATGATTAAGTAATTATGGGTTATTAAGAAAACCTTAGGGGCCAGCCGAGTGGCGCGTTGGTTAAGAGCTGGCTTGGGACGCCAGAGGGCCCCGGTTCGGATCCCACATATGAGGGCCAGTGACACTGCCCTCTACAGCTAAGATGCTGAACAACAGCTCAACCTGGAGCTGGGCTGCCATGAGTCGCCAGCCACGGCGTAGGCTGCAGCCCCTGTGGCAGTGGGTTGCCATGGGCTACCGTGTGTAGCCAGCAGCCTGCGTGAGCGGCCAGCAGCCGCAGTGAGCGGCCGTCCAGAAGCCGGTGACTGATGTGCCTCGCCCGGGAAGAGCGCAATGATGGTGCCAACTTGGGCCAGTGAAGCAACGTCCTCCACAACTAGACTGAAGAACAAAAGGACAGCAACTTCTCTGTTCCCCTTCCCCCAATTCCCCAATAAAAATCTTTTTAAAAACCCCGAAAACCTTAGGTGATGAGATCATGGATCCAGCAGGAGTTGGTGGGCAAGACAAAAAAAAAGTCTTCCCTCTTTTTTACAAAACACATGATTCCTTTTATCTGCCTTTGTGAGTCCTATTTACTTCAGACACGGAGTTAGAGATAGGAGGGCCAAAAAAATAACCCCAAAATACTTTTTCTGCTCTGAGTTTCAACATCTCTTTCACCAGAGCCCAGGTAAGCAGTGCTAGCAATGACTTAAACCTCAGCCCCGCTCACCTGCGGTGGAGGTGCTAACAAGCTATGGCCACATCCACAGCTCAGATTGCTGGTTGCTGGAAACTCTCCAGCTGTGCTGGAGAATGAATCCCACTAGGCCCCCAGTTTTGGAGACACCAGGGCCTCTGCTGCCAACAGGAAACGGTGGCAGCAGTGCTCCCACTTAGCCCGGGTGGCTGAATGTCACTCACTTGTGAGTGTCCCACGCTGACAGCAGACAAGTCAGAGCCCCAGGCCCTCTTCCTGAGCGGGCAGAGTGAGAAGATCTCAGCTTAGGGCCCATGGCGGGGCCCTTGGTGGGGTCCTCAGAACTATGCCCGAGAGCTATGATAGTGGACCAGGGCTTTGCACTTTGGCCTTGCCCCAAGTCCAAAGGGAGAGCACAAAACCACACTCACTTGGTTTAAGGAGGGAGGTGTTCTGATAATGAGAGAAATGCAAGCACTACTATGGAAAGAGAAAGAGGTCTTCCAAAGAGAGGCCATTTGTGTCTCAGGCAAACGAACACTCCCTTGAGGTTGCTGCCCTTCTAGCACTTTGGCAAGTTTCTCATTCATTCAACAAATATTTGTTGGATCCTTCTGAGTGCCACGCACTGGTGATTCATCTGAGAGCCAAACAGACAAGGCTTCTGCCTTCCTGGAACTCACATTCTAATGGAGAGAAGACAATGGACATAATAAAAGAAGCAAGTCGCAGAGTAGGTGAGAAACTGATCAATGTTATAGAGAAAAGAAAAAGCAGAGCCCGGAGACAGGGAGTGTTGGGGGGCTGCAAGACAGGCTGCAAAACTCAATAGGATTCTTATTGAAAGGATGAGCTCTGAGCCAAGACTTGCAGGAGGTGAGAGAATTAGCCATGCGGAGATCTGGGCAGAGGGAACCCGTGTGCCAACGCCAAAGGGAAGGACATGCCTGACATGGCCGAGGGTCTGAAGAAAGAGCACTGTGGTTGGAGCTGACAGAGCAATGGGAGAGGCACTCATTGAGGACACAGAAGCTGGACCCCACAGGGCCTCATAACTTGGGAACCATCACAGAGTCTTGGGCCAAGGATGGACATGATCTGATTTACCATTTAAAAGGATCACCTGGCTGCTTAAAGCTTCCTTTCCTCTGCTAGGGTTCTATCAAGATCAATGTTAAAGGAGTTATTTTGTAACCTCTGAGTGATCCTGTTTCCTTTGCATGCCAACAGCCAGAAATTGAATGTCTATAAAACTCAAAATGACAGAAAAAAGGTGGAGCCTAAGTGTTTGAAAGAGGAAGCCCATTCAGCTCCCACCACACCTTGGAGCTCCCCGCAGAGGCTTCCGCAGTCCCCCCCCCCCCTCCATGCTGCCGTCTGATTCGGGAACCTTCAGAACATGTGGTACAAATAAAGAACAGTCTCCCTGCTTCGATGATTGATCCTGTAATGCACTGATATCCACACTTTATGCTTTTGTCAGGACTCCCCTCACCCCCTCCCCAAAGGGAGAAAAAAATGAATAGTGGCTCTAGATTCTTTTTCACTGAATCGATGGTCTAAAAAAAAATCTATATACATGAATTGCTAAAGTATCTAAATAACTGTTAAACTTCTGATGCCTCAGATTGAAACTGCTTCCCCTGATTATCCCAATCATCTCAAAAACCAAATTAAGGAAACCACTGAAATACCTAAGTAGTCAAACTAAACATGGAGCAGAAAGGCTTACTGGCATGTTGACTCAGTGAAACGAGGAAACCGGAGAGAGCAAAGAACTGGGTTTTACTCTGCGTACCCCACCCCCTCACTCATTGTGCAACTAACTATTGGTCAGGTCCCCCAAATTCTCGGGGCTTTTGCCTTCTCATCTGTAAAATGAGGTATTCCTACAACTCATTGATGTGTGAGGAGAGACCCACGTCACCCAAAAGTGTGCGCTCCACCTTTAATAAAAGATAAAAACAGCAGGTTTTATCTTTCATCCGTGGGTCAACCCCGACTTCAGAGATGCTGAGATCTAAAATTGTGTGATTCCGTGAATCCGCCATGAGTCGCTGGTAAACCAATAATTACCGGCACTCTGCATGGTACACGTTATGAGCCAGGCAGTGACCCGTGTGCTCTTCGTGTGTGTTCGCCTCATCCTCACAACACCCTCCCCAGGCAGGTACTATCATCATCTCCATTTTAGAGCCCAGGAAACCGAGTTACAGCATGGCTGAGTAATCCACCCGAGATCATAGGTGATTGGGTAGGAGGCTGGCCAGGTTTTGAACCAGAGCCTGTGACACAGCAATCTGTGCTTTCAGCCGTTGTATCCCGTTGCCCCTCAGTTCGTGTCTCTGGTGGCAAATGTGATTCCCCTGTGCTCCTTCAGGCTTCTCCCTGGATGCTCCCAAGGGAGCAGGACTGGTAAGGATTAACCAGGTTATTATGGAGGAAGAGTGTGGGTATGGGGAGACAGGATCCCTGGCAACCCCAAGAGTTAGGGGATGTCCCAGCGTAGACTACTTGAGGTTGAGATTGTCTACAAAACCTTCGCTTGTGCTAGCAGCTGCCCACACGTTCGCTCCTATGCACCCACGCTCGGTCTAGCCAGTGGCCGTGAGGTCCAGGTGGTGCGGTGTCCTCAAGGTCAGTGTCAAGAAGACTGAGATAGAGTGCTCCAGGCGGCCACCATAGCAACCTCACCACCCTCCCACACGCTTTCCCCTCTGTCCCTCCTCCTGCCCCCTCCACCTCGTCAGTATTCCCCCTCCTCGCCTCCCCATTCTCCTCTGCCTCCCTCCCTGTCTTTGGCCTCTCTCCTCGGTCTGCTCCCCAGTGCTCTGGTGGGATAGAAAGGAAAGAGAATTTAGTAACAGAGGCTCTATATCTTTCCCCCCTCCTCCCCCCCCCCCTACCTCCCACTTCAAGCTCTAGGAGCACAAAACTAAGCAACTTATATTCAGGATCAAGTTGTGCTGAAAATTTGGAGGAGTTCATTTGAGCTGAGATTTCTAAGTTTCGGAAGGTACGAGCATGATAGGGGCTGGGGTTTCCTGTGTCACACAGTGATGAGAGAATTGTACCATCCTGAGGCCTCTGAAAGTGAGTAGGAAGAGAGTCAGCCGGAGAGGCTGCCTGAGGCTGAGATGAGGCCCGGCTGATAGGCCTCATTCGACATTCCTCTCTATTCTCCACCAACATCCAAAATGTAATTTAGAAATAGACACTGATACTGTAAAGATTGCCATCTGCCCACCATAAGTGCATCGTGGTAGGAGGCAGGCCAGATTTTGATTAAGAGCCCTTAGAATTCTGCAGACTGAAGCTAGGCGTCTTCTTCCAGACTC